AAATGAGAGAGGTGAAGACCTTTGTTAAAAAAACAAACAGAAAAATAGTGTTCTTGGTCATCATCTTCTTCCTCTCTTCACATCTTCTTGACAGCTCTGTGAATTAGATATCATGTGGAGTATGAACTGCCTTCCAATAACCATCAGTTATGAAACTAAATTGCTCTTTTTGCTTTTAGAAACATGCGATCATTCTCAACGTTTTCATTATGGTCACTTCAACTCTAATTATTGGAACAAGTACATAGAGGGTGACAACATAACATTTACTTGTAATGAGGGCTATCATCCTGCAGAGCAGCAGACAACATCCAGCTGCACAAAAAATGGCTGGTCACCCTTTCCAAGATGCATCCCCAGAAAAGGTAAGCTTTAGGAATGTCAGCTAAAAATGCCTGACCTGAAGTGACTTATCATGCTTTGCTATAGACATTTTTCTTGGTGCTTTTGAAGCAGCATTTCACAGTGGATTTATAAATGAGAATTTGTGATAATTCAGCAGCAGGCATGAAGACAGATGCATATATCCACAGGGAATTGTGCTATGACTGGGGTAAAGGTATGTCTATGTATGTGTATGTATATGCATAGAGATGAGACCATGTGTGTATCATTTTATTTATTAAACTTTATATCATCTATGACTTAAGTCTGTTGACAATTTGCAATGAAAAGATAACTTTCGATGTGAACAAAAATAATTAAGATGAAATTGATTAACAATTAAACTTTGGTTTTATTATATTTCTTGTTTTTAAAGAGGAAGTGATATGTTTTAATCTGCAGGGTCCATTCTGGAGATTTGGGGTGTCTCCAATGAAGACTTGAGGCCCACCATCAATTGTTGGGAGTCGGGCAGCATACTAATTTAACAATAAATCAATAAATCAATAAATGTAATTATCAAGGAAAACTACAAATAAAGATAACAATTATACATTTTAACATACATTTTACAACTAAAACAATTCACTGTTCTAAAATGCATTTAAAACTTCAT